ATTATGGGGAGTTTTGACTGTGGTAATAATATATGGGAACATAAGAATAGAGAAGCACTGCAGTGGGTTTACTGGACCATACTACGTGAGTATTTCTCAAACCTAATCTTTTCACTAATATATGTATTTGCTAACTGTGTCCAAACTAGTATTTTTGATGTACCTTTAACGGGTTTCGGGAGTTTTTATAATTCCATTTCCAAAGCCAAGCCTTTGGCCTGACTTGTCTGGGGCTTGCCTGGTCAACCAGGCTGTTGCTGCTGGCCCATATATCCATCACAGCCTAGGTGATCCGGCAGTTGCCACGGTACATGTCTAGTTTGTTCCTGAAGACTTCTAGTCTTCTTCCGGCTGTGTTTCTGATGCTTTTGGTAAGATGTTAAAATGTCTGGGAACACGGATGTTGATACACTCTTATTGTGTCCACGGCGCCCCTGCTTTCCATTTTCCTCGTTCTAGTATCTTATTACAGCAGGGTGCAGATGTGGAACTAGTTCCTCGCGTACTTTCCACTTATTTATTATCATATATCTTTCTTTTCTCCTCTCCAATGAGTAATATTTAGGACTCTGTGACATTCCTAGTAATTTAAACGTTTTAGCGGCTCCATGGGGGCTCCGACATTTCCCTTGTCCTGAAAGGAGCCGTCAGTACTGAACAATACGCTAGGAGAGCAAAGGCGATTTGAAAATTGTCATCATTAACACTATTTCTCTTGCATTTCCCTTCCATTTGTGTGTGTGTGTGTGTGTGTGTGTGTGTGTGTGTGTGTGTGATATTTTCTTTATTGTGTTCTTCGAAAGTAAGGTCAGCTGACCTTACACCTAGTTCCTTAACATGTTCCTTTCGTTCTGTTTAACGATTTTTTTTTTGTATACAGCGTCCCTTTTGAGTTCTTCATTCTTTCCATATCCAAACAATTAGAACTTGTCACAATTGAACGCCATGTTATTCTCTGCCTACTGGAAGATTTTGTTAATAACTTCTCGCAGTTTTTCTGTGTCTTCTACCATAGTCATTTTCATACTTTTTTGGTATCATCCTCTATGGCGACCTTGTTTATCTATGTCTACTATGAGGATTAAAAACAGTAAAGGGTTCACAATCGTACCTTGGGGGTACTTAGCTGTTTACTTTGCTAATGTTACATTTTCCTCTATTTACTACTGATCTTTGTGTCATATTTGTCAGAAAGTTGATAATCCATTTTGTTACTTTTCCGTTTATTCTTGCATTTGTCTTGGTTATCCTGGAATATACTGGATTATACTGGGTTAACCTGGAGTGTACTGGATTATACTGGGTTATCCTGGAATGTACTGGATTATATTGGGTTATCCTGGAATGTACTGGATTATACTGGGTTATCCTGGAATGTACTGGATTATATTGGGTTATCCTGGAATGTACTGGATTATACTGGGTATCCTGGAAAATTTCTGGATTATATTGGGTTATCCTGGAATGTACTGGATTATACTGGGTTAACCTGGAGTGTACTGGATTATATTGGGTTATCCTGGAATGTACTGGATTATACTGGGTTATCCTGGAATATACTGGATTATACTGGGTTATCCTGGAATATATGCTACTTAATTTAATATGTGAAAACATTGTAAAGGTATAAAAGTTTAATTATTTGCCCTGTAAAACCTCTGGTCATTTTCTTCCCCCACACTACACCCCCACACTACACCCCCACACTACACCCCACACACTCACCACCCCCCCCAAAAACCCCCAAACTAACCCCTTAAACTAAAACACCCCCCAAACAAACCCCCAAATTTTACCCCAAACTTAACCCCCCAAACATTAACCCCAACTTAAAAAATTTTAACCCCCCCCAATTAAAACCAAAACCTAAAAAACTCCCCCCCCAAACCCAAACAAAACCCCCCCAAATCTACAAAATAAAAACTTTTAAAAAAAATTAAAACAAAACCCCCACACTCCCCCACATCTACCCCCCCCACCCCCTACAACCCCCCAAACTTAAACAACACATACACCCCAAATACAAACCCCCCTTAACCCCCACACTCCCCCCCCCCACATTTTTTTCCCCACCCCACCACACCCCCCCACACTAAACCCCCAACCCCCTTCACACCCCCCACACTACACCCCCCCACAACCCCCCAAAAAACCAACTAACCCCCCACTTCCCCCCCCAAACCCACAAAACCCACCCCCAACTAAAACCCCCCCATTAAAAAAACCCCACACAATTAAACCCCCCCACAAAAAACACACCCCCAATCACAACCAACCCCAACTCTACACCCACACACTCTACACCACCCACACACTCTAACCCCACACACACACACCCCCACACACTCACACCCCACACACTCTACACCCCCACCTACACCCCACATTTAAAACCCCCACACACTCTACACCCCCACACACTCTACAACCCCACACACTTACACCCACACACAACTAAAACCCCCACACTTTACACACCCACACAACTCTACACCCCCACCAACTACACCCCCACACACTCTACACCCCCACAATACACCCCCACGCCACTCCAACCCCACTACCCCCCACACACCTCACCCCACACACTACCCCCACACCCCACACCCACACATCTACACAACCCACCACAACTCACACCCCCACACTCTACACCCCCACACTACACCAACCCCACACCCCGCCCCCCACAAATCTACCAACCCCACACTTACACCCCAATACTAAACCCACAATCTACTCCCCACAAAACTCACACCCCAACTCACTAACCCCCACCCTCTTAACCCACTCATCGACAACCCCACACACACTAAAACCCCCCCCCTCACAAACCCCCCAACTTTACACCCCCAAACCACTCTCACCCCCCAACACTCTACAACCCCAACACCTACACCCCCACCACTACACCCCCCACCCTCAACCCCCACACCCTCCCACAACCCCACTCACCCCACACACCCCACATACCCCCACACACACCCCCACACATCAAAACCCACACACTTACACACCCCACCCTCAACAACCCCCACACACCAACCCAAACAACCCCAAACCCCCCCACATTCACCCCCACACACTCACACCCCCAACACTCTACACCCCCACCCCTCACCACCCCCCACCATCAACCCCCACACACTCACACCCCCCACACTAAAACCCCCCACACTCAAAACCCCCACACACCTACACCCCCACACTTCAACCCCCACACACACTACAACCCACACACTCTACATACCCCCACACTACAACCCCACACACCACATACAACCCCCCACATCTACAACCCCAACACACTCTACACCCCCACACTCACACCCCCACACTACAACCCCCACACTACCACACACCCCAACATCACTACCACCACCCCCACACTACACCCCCACACTACACCCCCACACCAACACCCCCACACTACACACCCCACACTACACCCCCACACACAACACCCCCACACTACACCCCCACACTACACCCCCACACTACACACCCCCCACACTACACCCCACACAACACCCAACTACACCCCCACACTAACACCCCCACACACACTACACCCCCACACACTACACCCCCACACACACTACACCCCCACACTACACCCCCACACACAACACCCCCACACTACACCCCACACACTACACCCCCACACTACACCCCCACACACACTACACCACTAACCCACACACTACACCCCCACACTACACCCCCACACACTGGAGTTCCTCTCCTGTTTCTTGTTATATTCTAGGTGTTGGGTATTTTTATTAATGTAAACCGAACTAGTTCTGACTTATATCTTCTAACGTAATTATTCTTAGTCCTCACTAATTCTTTTAAAAGGCCTTCTGCTTAGCCTGTGAGTGACTGCTTGTCGGGGTTTTTAACTTTTGTTTATTATTTTTTTTCTTTTAGCCTTGTGGCTCAACTTGGGTCATCCGACGCATGCGAGACAAGGTGGGCAGCTAGATCGAAGCACCACATTTGTGACTACTACTACTACTACTATTACCTCTTCTGGATACCACATAAAAGTGTCGTAGAACACTTTGGAATTACTATCTATTGTCTTCATCATCTTCAGTCGTCTTCATCACAGTGCTATAAGTCAGCGTTTTTCGATTACCCCTTTGTCTACTAACTGTGAAACATCACCTACAACTTAGTGTCTGTGCTCTGCGTCTCTCCCACCGTTCATTGAAGGGACTCTATAAGTCGTGTCCAACTGCGACTACCGCGTCTTTTACGTACGTCGTTGGTCAACATCCTGAATCCTGCTACATGCAAGGTTCCCTCTGCACCTCGGAATATCTGTGCTGGACCTGTATATATTTGTATATAGGAACATTAGCTTAGTTTCATGTGATTAATTTATGTATTTAATTTTTCATCATTTGCTTCAGTTTGGAAAGTTTCATGTTTAAGTTTTTTATATTTATATATTAATTTTTTTTTTTTTTTTTTGCATAATTTTGTTACAACTGATTATTCTTATCCGTTATTGTTAATTTCTCTATTTTTTCTGTTCATAAGGAGGAAGGGCCCCTTTAAATACTTTTTTAGGGTCTGAGAGGACTGTTGTACCGTCACAATGATAATTAAACAGTGCAATATGCTTCACAATCATATTCCATCACGAAGAATGGAGCTTGTACAAGGTGTTGAAATATATCAGTATATCAGTATGGACCGGAAAACTTCAGTAGGGCAAAGAGAATATCGTCAAGCATTTCAGTAAGGGTTCATCAGTTATGAGAGCTTAAAAGTTTCCTTGCAGCATAGCTGGAGTTGCTATCACTTGGGAGCTGCCATCTCTCAGGACAGCCTGTCCCATACACGGGAGGGTAAAAAGTTTAATTTTAAATTTTCTTTCTTCGGAGGAAAAAAAACAAATTTCAGAGAATATTCTAAATGTAGCTTACAAATTCCGAATTCTGGAGGAATTGTGAATAAGAGATAAAAGTATTAAAGTGTGCTAGACCCACTTGGCATAGACCATCTGTGCAGCGTGTGGCAGGAGGTCGTGGACAGCGTCAGCAACCTCGTCTCCTTTAGCAGCCTCCCATGGGTCGTCCACCGCCAAGCCGTGCACACGACCCAGGTACCGACATATTGCTACCGACTGGCTCAGAGGCTTCTCGTCCACGTACAGCACAGGAACCTTCCCATACGGCATTTCTGAGGATGAACAAGTAGTTAGGTTCTTCCAACCTGAGTAGTGAGTGAAAACAGGACTAAACATAATAATAAATATAAGAATGCAATAATAATATAAATCTCTAACTGGAATAAATCGTCAATGGGACTAACGTAAAAACACAAATAGTTTAAAAGTAATGAACGCTGGTCAAAAGGTTGTTTGCCTACTGCAATGTTTATTTGAGGGATTTTGAGATGCCTGAGACATCTTGAACAATGGCTTGTTCAAAAGAGGAAAGGAGTGTTAGTTTTATCGCATTCTTGTCGACAGATATCCGAGAAAGATCGTCGGGGTAAGTGGATAGCAGTCATCATTAGACAAAACTGAATGATAACATACGACCGTGTAGCCAACATTGTGCCTCAGGTAAGTAGTTGGCAATCATTCATGTTTACTATACCCTGGAACTGGAGCCTTCCTTCCCTTCCTTGGATTTAACCTGAATTCCTCCCATTCAAATGGCTTAATAATAGTTTCGGAGAGAGAGATTAATAACTTACGAAAGCCTTGGGAAGAAATGGAACTAGAAGTTGAAACAAAAGGGAGATGTTAGATGGGGAGACAGAAGTACTGGAAAGATGGATGGAAACATTTTGAGGGGTTGTTAAACGTTGATTAAGAAAGGGAGGCAGTATTTTCATGCACTGAGCTGGGAAGTATTACCATCTTGTATGAGCGAGGAAGAGCCAGATATGACTGGGCAATGGGTAGAATGGAAAGGATAAAGCAGCTGCAGTAGATGGGATTAAGACAAATGTTAAAAGCAGGAAGTGATTAGTTTTTGAATGGGCGGTGTATTTGTTCATGAAATGCAAGAAAGAATGAAAGGTATCGAAGGATTGGCAGAAAGCATGCATAGTTACTTCCTATAAGGAAAAATGGGTGCAATAGTGCAAGAAGTATAATGAAAAAAGTTTAAAGTAAGCCAAGTAAATTGTATGGTAGAGTTATTGAAAGAATTAAGGGAAAGACAAAAAAGCAATGTAGCAGAGGAGGACCAAAGATAATCTGGGAATGGTATCGGATAAGTAGACTAGGTGCTTGCATTCAAGCATAAAACTGAACAGTGCTTAGATAAAGGTAAATAATATTTTGTTGCATTTATAGACAGAAAAGGCAAATGATAGGGTGAATAGGACAGCAATATGGTAAATGCTGAAAATATATGGAATAGATAGGCAGTTCCTAAATGCATTAAAGAGTTTTATACAGATAGGCTCAAATTAGGGTATACAGGAAAGAGATGAATTATTTCCCAGTAAAAATGGGGCCTAGAAAGAGTTGAGATGTCACCATGGTTGTTCAACATATTTATAGATGCGGCTGTAAAAGAAATGAATGCTAGGGTATTGAGGAGAGGTGAGGGATTAATAATATAACGAATTTGATTCAAGTGAGAGTTGTCACAGTTGCTCTTTTGCCGATAACGAAGTTCTTTTGGGAGATTCTGAAGATAAGTTGCAAAGTATGCACACGTGATGAACGCTATCTTCCCTGGAACTTTCAACTGCACAGTAAATGAACTTTTCCGCCTCGATAACCTTCCCAGCTTCAATTTTCCTGACACTGAACCATCAACATGTATACTGAAAATCTGCAACGAAGAAAGCATCGGCATCACCATCCCATCAGATCCTCCAACCTCAGCCGACCAATCCACTTCTGATCCACTATCCGCCCAACCCTTCCCGCCTGCCCAGCCTGCCACAACCTCACACCCACTGCAGCTCCACTAAAAGATCAAGACTCTCACACTTCTGAAGAAGAATCGAAGTTAACCACACCCTCGGCTTCACCTGGAAAAATCTACGATTTTCAAGTACATCTTCAAACAAGACCATCTTAGCCAGAGAACTCCAGCCTCGACTCTGCAATGGAACTGTCATATACACATCCGTTTCCCCATACAACTTCACACCACAAGTCTAACATTTTGTAAAACATTCCATCGAAGACTTCGACAGTTATGCACAATTCGCGTACCTTCCGAAACAAGTGTTTCAAAATTTTAAGAATGAGTCATTCCAAATAAGACAGTAAACCCCGGCCATGAACTTCGGCGCCTACCGGCTGTCAACACCCTGAAGCTGTAACCCTTCATCATGTACTCAGCTGCTGGGTTAACCCCTGGCGTTCTATTTCTACGAGTGAAGACACTCTTCTCCAGCGCTATTCTTCACCTGTCCTCACTTCCTCGTTCTCTCTTACTTGAGAGTTAGTCATCATCATCATCATCGCCGCCGCCGCCGTCGCCGCCGCCGCCACCGCCACCACCGCCACCACCACCGCCACCACCGCCACCACCGCCACCACCACCGCCACCACCACCGCCACCACCACCGCCACCGCCACCACCCTTCTCTGTGTGACGAGTTAATGATCCAAGTCGGACCGAAACGTCGTCATAAGTTTCGATCTCCTATGTGCGGGTTATTTGTGTATTGTTCCAGCCATGGTATTGTGCCTTTTAAATTCTTAAGATAGTATTACGAACATCAAATCTGATAGAAGAAACACGATACCTGCCATAAGGCTCTTACTGCCCCATGCTGTTTATTGACATCTCTTTACACTAATATAAATCAGTGTCTTGTTTAATGTCAGTCTACCGAAGCATTCTCAACTTACCTTCAGCACACAGGCGGCCGAAAAAGCACTATAACAATTAAGATAACAATTGCACAACACAGGTTGGTGGAAGATAGTATTGCTGCTGCAACCAGTGTTGGACACTCCTCACATAGCATGGCGAGTGTCGGTAACCAAGCCTTCGTGCACAACTTCCATAAGATTTTTACGATTTATTACTAGTTTTACAATTATAATATTTTTTCTGCCTTGGAAAGTAAAGCGATGTAGGAAGAGAGTGGAGAGAGAGGTGGAAGAGGAGTCGGGGAAGGAGTAAGTAAGCTAGTGGCGAACATCGGACTCCGAAATCAAGGATACTCACGCGAGTCTGGTGAACTGGTGTGTGACACGACACAGTAAGACCCACACTGATGAGCAAGGAACACTCGCCCCTCCTGACAAACAGCAGGATATTGTTACTTTGTTGGGAGCTGTTATTGTGCTGAGAGTTGTTACTATGCTGGTAGTCATCACTGTGCTGGGAGTTGTCACTGTGCTGACAGGGCAGGTCTAGGGACCAGAAAGGGCACCAGGGTAGGTCTAGGGACCAGAGAGGTCACCAAGGTAAGTCTGGGGACCAGGGAGGGCACCAGGACAGATCTAGGTACCAAGAAGGGCACCCATGCATCTCTAAGGACAAGAGAAGGCACCCATGCAGGTCTAGGGACCAGGGAGGGCACCCATGCAGGTCTCGGGATCAGGGAGGGCACCCATGCAGGTCTAGGGATCAGGGAGGGCACCCATGCAGGTTTAGGGACCAGGGAGGGCACGCATGCAGGTCTAGGGATCAGGGAAGGCACCCATGCAGGGCTAGGGACCAAGGAGGGCACCCAGACAGGTCTAGGAACCAGGGAGGGCACCCATGCAGGTCTAGGAATCAGGGAAGGCACCAAGACAGGTCTAGGGACCAGGGAGGGCGGGCACCCGTGCAGGTCTAGGGACCAGGGAGGGCACGCATGCAGGTCTAAGGACCAGGGAGGGCACCCAGGCAGGTCTAGGGACAAGGGAGGGCACCCAGGCAGGTCTAGGGACAAGGGAGGGCACCCCCCAGGCAGGTCTAGGGACAAGGGAGGGCACCCAGGCAGGTCTAGGGACAAGGGAGGGCACCCAGGCAGGTCTAGGGACAAGGGAGGGCACCCAGGCAGGTCTAGGGACAAGGGAGGGCACCCAGGCAGGTCTAGGAACAAGGGAGGGCACCCAGGCAGGTCTAGGGACAAGGGAGGGCACCCAGGCAGGTCTAGGGACAAGGGAGGGCACCCAGGCAGGTCTAGGGACAAGGGAGGGCACCCAGGCAGGTCTAGGGACAAGGGAGGGCACCCAGGCAGGTCTAGGGACCAGGGAGGGCACCCAGACAGGTCTAGGAACCGACATACACACAGTCTAACTCTTCACTTGTGTTATGTCCTTCATGTTTTCTGTCTTCTGATTTTCTCCTTACTAACTTTTTCTCCCGTAGCTTAAACCAGCGGAGGAGGGAACGGGGGTAAGGGAAGAGTGCTCCTGTTCTTCTCTTGTCTTCCCTTATTTCTTTCCTTTACGTTATCCTTTGGATGTCTCTCCGTGTGCTACTTTATGTCCGCCTTTGTATGCTGCTGTGTGACGTGAGTAGAGGGTGTCATCTCATTTAGTTCAGATGTAACTTACTACTACTGCAGCTACTTACTACTACTACTTTTACCACTACTACTACTACTACTACTACTACTACTACTACTACTACTACTACCACCACTACCACCACCACTTTTCTTTCTTTCCCCTCACTCTTCCTGGCCTGTTTGCCTGATTTTCTGCACTTTTCTCGCTCACTTGTCACTTGACAATAATCCAGGAGGGTCAGGAACACAGTTTAAGTGTTGGTTCTTTGCGAATTGTTCCGGCCATGATATAAAGAATATATTTTTCTTGGAGGCCAAGTAGGAAGGCAGGGTGGATCGCGGAAAGTTTGGCAGGCAGGCTGGGTGGATCGCGGAAAGTTTGGCAGGCAGGCTGGGTGGATCGCGGAAAGTTTGGCAGACAGGCAGGATGGATCGTGGAAAGTTTGGCAGGCAGGCAGGGTGGATCGTGGAAAGTTTGGTAGGCAGGCAGGGTGGATCGCGAAAAGTTTGGTAGGAAGTTTGAGAGGAAGGCAGGCACACTGAAAGGCGCAGAGAAATACAGAATGACAGGAAGGCATCTAGACTCGCTAGAGGACAAGGAAGCAGGCAGGTAGGTAAACAGGTAGGAAGAAAAGAAAGGCAGGAAGGAAGGAGATGGAAAGAAGATACAAGAAAAGGAACAGACGCACAGGCACACATGCTGTTATTTCACATTTAAATAACTAGTGTCGTGTTTGCTATCATTTCTAGGTCACTTGTGTCACTCTTGATGCCATTTGTAAGTGACCTGCGTCACATATGAAAATGTTGTGATAATG